CCAGTTTCCCACTCCCAGGTCAGTCAAATCCCTTTTGGGGGCAGTGGGAGCCTCAGAGGCAATCATTGCCCTATCGTCAAATTGGGGTTCTGCCCTCGTATTCCCCTGAGTGGGCTGTTCAAATTTGGGGGGCGTTCTCTTTTTGTCTTTCCAGGCTCGGATGAGTTTTTCTAAGGCCATAGTGGGCATACCGTCCATTACGTCCCGGGGAATCCCCTTTTCGATTCCCTCAGCCCACAATAGGTTTCTCTTTGCCCCCAAGGTTTGCGCAGGGGGTGGGGGTCGATTCTCCTGCTGTTCCACTCTCCGCACAGCAGTTTTCGATTTTGTGGCTCCCCCTGTGATTCCCATCCTCCTACCATAATTTATTAACTCTTGGGCTACTTCGCCCCAAGTCATCGGCCCTCCTCGGGCTCGTCTCCCTCCTCGTGGGGCTAGTGCGTCCCGCAAGCGGTCTTGCAATTGCACTGCATATAGTTTCAAGGAATCAGGTAAACCTCGGATTAGGGGAGTCATTCTGTCGGGGTTAGCAATTAATAACATTGGGGAAGGTTGTTGAGGGACTAAACGCCTGTCATGCATTAATTGAAGACAAGCAGCCTTTTGCAGACTCTCGATCAAGTGGTTTGTGGTCGGGGTTTCAATACACACGGGATCTCCCCTTTCCAAGGGGTCTAGACCCCCTGCCCAATAGGCAGCTCGCTGAGTTAATGACCACGACTCCCTGGGGTCATCAGTAGTCAGGAAAACCCCTGGCCCCCAGTACCCCTGGGCCTCATCTTCTGACAACAGGATTCGGTCACCACCAGTTAGTGATACCCTCCATACATATTCTGTTTCAGTTTCTTGAGCCAATCTAGTATATTTTTCTTGGATTTTTGACATTTCGGCTGCTGAGTATGGCACCGTTCGGGTGGTGATTTGCGGAGCTCCCCCACCTTGGCCGTCATCAGTGGTCTCCGTTTTAATCACCGGCCTCATCACCACTTCCCCATTCTCGGGGTAAAATAATTCTCGCTTGATTTCTAGCTCTTCACTTGGGTACAAAGGTCTTAGGCTTTGCTTTTCGGCCATCTGTGCCAAGCTAGTAAATCCTGGCACACTATCCGGAACAGAAACAAGATCTGTCCGGTCGGGAGATTTTTGTCCCCCTTCCTCTAATTCAGAACGCAAAATTTTTTCTCGGTCCAGTGCATCTGACAGGGCCACATGGAGTCGCTGAGTAGTGTTACGTTCAGCGGCTAGTAGACCCTGCAGGGTTTTTATTTGTTCTTGTAAGGATTCAACCATTTCATCATTGGTTCGCTTAACCAGGTGCCTCTCCTTCTGGGCTGCCACTAGTGCTGCTCCCAACACAGCACACACCGTGGCCTTCCCCTTTCCTGGTCGAGCCTTTTGTTCTTTCATGAGGGTTGTGATTTTGTCCGCTACAGCTTTCGGGTCGTGCCAACTAATACAGGCCCATGCCATCCCTGATGGGGAAGGGCATGCCTTATATTCCTTTAACTTTTCAACCACAGGGAGGCAGTCAAGCACCGGCGTTTCCCGGGCAGCCATGGCTTGCCACTGCTCGTACCTCTCCCGGCTTATAGCTGAGAGGTCACTTCCCGGCTCTCCCCGCCCACACTCTCCGGGTGGAGAGTCGGTATCCCTGAGGACCTTCCAACACTGAGGGGATCCTGTCCGTGACGCCAATTAATATGTCACGTCCCACCAAGGAGAAGGGGAGGGTGACTAAGATCCGCAAATCCCCTCAGCGTGGATTAAGGTGAAATAACACTCAAGGTCCAAAAACAAACTCCAACTTTAATGGCACAAACACCTCTATAAACATCAACCCTCTATGTCTTAATGCACAATACAAGCTAAGCGGCTTTGTGAGGAGTTGAGGTAGGCCTTGTATTGCTTAG